TAAAGAACACGATCCAGGTTCGGAAGCTATGTCTATTTGTGCACAGTAATATAGCTTAGGCGATTATGGTGTCGCACCTAGACATGAGGTTTCATAATCCCAAATGGAAAATTTGATTGATTGTGGAATGGAGGATTAAGAGAGAGGTTCGTTAAATTACACAGTATAGGAGTGCGACTAATGGATGTGCGGATCCAGCAACTGTGTGCCATAAACGCCCCTCGCGGATACAAATGGTCTGTGACCCTGGTATATTTGTAATTTAACCGAAATGATGGCAGGTGGTGGATGACATTTGTCATATACCCAAGTCATAAGCCCTATAAATACCCCCAAGGGTCACACATTGGAGCATATATGAAGAGGACCCCACTTCCACTTCGCCTTATTTTTGCTCTCTCTCTCTCTCTCTCTCCCATTCATTCCTTTCAGCTTATTGTCACGACGTGATTCCTAAGACGCTTGGAGGATGGAAGACATGCATGCTGGTTGGCAAAGAGCAGAGTTTGACTAGGAATGGTTCCAGGGAAGGGGAGTGCAGGAGCACAGGATGGTACCTCTTTAGAGTTCAGGCAGGTAGACTCGGTTGAGTGCGAGGAGCTTGTCGCTGGTCGTGGACTTGACTATGAAGAAGGGAGTTGGCCATCCCTGCATAAACTGGTTGGGAGCTGAAGCCGTTCCCCTGATGAGACCAAGGCAGGTCGAAACTAGTCAGCATGTATCCTTGGGAGGGCAGGTCGTGGTGGCTGACCAGGGTGCTTGCGCGAGCTAAAGCAACGCCTTGGTGCCGCACGGGCCGTGACGCTGCGCCAAATCTCTAGGCCCGTGACAAATGGTATCAGAGCAAGACTTGGGGTAAAGCATGGTGGGGTGCCCCCTTGTTGGTCTAGGAGGGGTCAGAGAATGAAGACGGTGCACTGATGTTGCGTCGATGAGGAGGAATCAATGCAGTTGGGGGGAGAGCCTCCATCTCCCCAGGAAGAGGTGTCCGTTGAAGTTGCGCACTGGAGGGCCGGAGGGCCGCGCGCACCAAAGTTCGTGCTTACTCCTTGGGTGATGCAAACCATGGTGAAGGGCGAGCATCAAGTCGGCAGGAGGCCCTTGCTTGCTCGGGATGTCGCGGAGGCGGCATGACGGAGAAGAGTCACGTCCTTGAGGAGTGGATATCCCCTTGGTCCGAGGCCTATCATTGGGTGAGTGCAGTGTAGGGAGCTGCACAAGGAAGTGATGGTGGGAAGATGGGCATACCGCTTAGAGGCAGACTTTGGAAGGGAGTGGACGCAGTGGTGAAACGCCACACTGCGACGAGGGCGTCGCAGGATTTGGGTGGGGGAGAGTGTCACGAAGTGATTCCTAAGACGCTTGGAGGATGGAAGACATGTATGCTGGTTGGCAAAAAACAGAGTTTGACTGGGAATGGTTCCAGGGAAGGGGAGTGCAGGAGCACAGGATGGTACCTCTTCAGAGTCCAGGCAAGTCGACTCGGTTGAGTGCAAGGAGTTTGTCGTTGGTCATGGACTTGATTATGAAGAAGAGAGTTAGCCATCCCTGCACAAACTGGTCAGGAGCTGGAGCCGTTCCCCTGATGAGACCAAGGCAGGTCGAAACCAGTCAGCATGTATCCTTGGGAGGGCAGGTCGTGGTGGCTGACCAGGGCGCTTGCGCGAGCTGAAGCAACGCCTTGGTGCCGCACGGGCCGTGCCGCTGCGCCAAATCTCTAGGCCTGTGACATTATTCTCTCTCTCTCTTTCTATGTTCGATTGTTTCATTCAGTTCTAGTCAAAGCATAGGTGATTTCTCAAGCTTCTGAACCTGTACATTCACACCCCTAAAATTATTGTTATGCGAATTGCTATTCAAACAATTGCAGGACATTGAAATCTCTCCTGATGACAAAAGGGTGACTAAAGACGAAACCTTATTGGTTGATAGGAATTCCGATTTGCAGGAATTTTGGAATTCATCCCTTTATTATATTAAAGATGAAGATAGAGACAGAACCCGAAAGAGTAAGCAGTCAGTAGTTTGAGACTTTCTTTTAGCCAGGAAAAAAAGGGGTGGGGGAGATACAACTTTAAGTGTCCATATTTCTTTATTTAGCTCTTTGTCTAATTTTTTGTATTTGTTATTGAGTTTCATGTTTGCAGTAGTGTTCTTTCAGCTCCATTATGCTTCTGTTATAGTTTTTAAACTTTTAAGACATTTAGTCACTTACTTATAAATAAATAAAAAAAGACATTTAGTCACTTAATTGTTTTTAGTTTAGGTATTTTGATCTTAATTGCATCCTAAATATGTTGTCAGTTGTCAAGGAAAATGAAACCTCACGGGAGGAGCCCAAACTTTCAGACTTCGTGATGATTAGCAATGAATATGTTCCTGCTGAATTAGTCACAGGTTTGCCACATCAGGGGCAAAAAAAAAAAAAAGGGAGTGATAAATAATGTATACTAGACATTATATTTTATTTAAGTTTTGTTGCTTTCACATCAGTTTAACACCAGTAGACAGTGGTCTAATGATATAATGAATGCAGAATCAAAACAGCAGAAAAAGGAGAAAAATCGAAAAAAGGAAGTGAGACGAAAATTGAATCCAGATTCAGGTCCGATTAGACAAAATCTATTCGTTTTGTTTCTCTGCTACTTATCTTTTAGGGTGATCATCTTTTTCTTATTTACGACATCTTTTTGCTAAACTAATCCCTTTATACCAAAATATCTTTGTTAGTTCACCAGTAGTGGAGACTCAGCATTGTTCTTTAATATTAGGTCCATTTGTATCAATTGATTTTAGCGCAGAAATTTGGTAAATTGTTTAGATGGCACTGGATTGCAAAAAAAGTATTAGGATTAAGAGGATGTGTCTGCAGATTTCTATGTTAGAACTTAGAAATGAACTCCTCTGGCTAATTTTGAACTTCTGAATATGCAATCATCCTATTATGATGGGTTGTGGTTGTAGAATACAGTTGGCTGTCCAATTATGCCAGGCAAATCAGACCTCATTTTGCCCTTGTTAATTCGTTATTTGTTTCGAGGTTTATTTGTGGGGAAGAACTCCTCAAAATGTGTATTACTGTTGAAGTTATGTATGGGTAAATCTCCTCAAGATGTGTTACTTGTTTCGAGTTTATCTGTAGGGATGAGCTCCTCGATAGGTAAGACCGAGAAATATAGGTTATGCGGACACACATTGTTATTAACTTGTGGAGCTTACATGAATGCCACTGTTAGAACACCAATGATCTCAAAAGTTTAAGTTGTTAGAAAATGACACAGTAATGTATATCAAAAGTTCCTTCCTTCACATGCAATCTCCCCTTGCAAATGTAGAAGCAAATAGACTAGATCCAGATTTTGTCAATATTGACACATCTATCCATCTTAACAATTAGTAAAAGAGTAGTTATGCATTCCATCCGCGTTTGACCTCATTTCTTATTCTATTTTCAAAGATTTTTTGAAGCTTTTCATAACTTGACTATCTGAATTTGACTAGGCTGAATAACATTTTATGTAAATTTTAAATCGTAGGGCATCTAAATCTTCATTTTTGTTGTCCTCATTTTTTATTTGAACTTCTGAATGAATTCAAGTCCAAAATTTTATAGAGATAGATTATCTGAAGTCCCACCTCACCACACGATGAAGGTTGCTAATATTAGTATTTTTGCCAAAGCTGAGGTCCTTGTTATTTGTTCGCAATTCTGTCATTTTATGGTACAATACAATGCCACTGGTTATTTTATCAAACTGATTAAGATGTTTATGTGACAGATCTGCAGAAATTAAATATGTTTGAGAAGCTTGAAAAGAAAGATCAGGTAATGATTTATAGCTTAGTTACCCTTCTACTGACCGTCTTTTGTCAAAGATCGCTTCAGCGAAACAATCAAGAAGAACGTTGACTGTCAGAGTTTATTAATTTATTTATTTTTTAGATTTTTGGTTCTCTCCTTGCGCTGGGTTGGTTTTCTTGATTTTGGTTATTAAATAATCACATTGCTACATCATTAAAGAGTAATTTAGAGTAACCTTTTCTAAAGTTTGGCAAAATTGTGCGGACCTCTATAATTTTTAAAATTATACTTGATTTCTCCTCAGATCTAATAGGGGAGTTTAGTGCAATTTTTGAAATTATTAAGTCTTGGAATTGTAATGTAATATTAACCTTTTTTGACCCTTACAAAAGGAAAAATAATGTTTAAACCCCATACATACCAAATATAAGCTCTTACGATCTTACCAACTTGTCCTTTCGAAGCGTCGGGAAAGACAACCCACCATACCAACAAAGCTTTTTCATGAATTCTCTAAGGCTTCGTTTGGTTAGATGGAATCAATTTGAAAAAAAAAAAGAAATAGAAAATTTTAAAACTTTTTTATAGTTTGGTTAGATATAAAATGAAAAGTTTTTGAAAATTAGGATTCTTATAACCCTTTATTTTCTTTAAAATGTTTCCTTTACAAAACACGGAGAAATTTTATTTTTGGGTGAAAGCATGTCATTTTATATAGTGTTCCTATTTTACCCAACACAATTTCATTTTATATTTGGAAACAACAATAATTTTTTACTAGGTTTCAAATAATTGGAGTCCACTAAAAATTTTATCATTGATAAATTTTTAATTAAGACTTCCATTCCTATTTGTTTTCATCATATATGAATAATAGTAATTCAAAATGTCTAAATTAATTGAAAATTTTAGCATTTTTTTAATATATTTTATTACTAATTGCTTATTATTTTATAAAATAAGGGTAATTTAAGTATCCAAACTATAATATGATATTTTCGTATAATTTTCTTAAAGAAAATTTCTTCGTAACAAATTACATACTAGAAATTTTTTTTTTTTTTATTCACTTTATTTATTTATTTTTTTTTCCTTTCTTACTATTTTCATCAAACCAAACGGAACCTAAATAAAAATATGAGCAATCGCAAAAAAAAAAAAAGGAATCGGATTTTTTTTTTATCCACTTTATTTTATTTTATTTTTTTTCCTTTCTTACTATTTTCATCAAACCAAATGGAAACTAAATAAAAATATGAGCAATCGCACAAAAAAAAAAAAAAAAACTTCCATCAATTTCAATTCTAAAGCTGAAATTCCATACCTGCCAAACACAGCCTTAGTAAATTCTCTAAAATTGAAAAAAGTTCCCAAATTTTTTTAAAAAGGAAGTTTCATTTCTCCTTTAAGCTCTGCTGATTAGTTTGGTGTCAAATGTCAATGTATGTATCCGCAACTACAAGATAGAATAAATCTTAAAAGTTTCTTTTAGATATATTTTTTTTCCCTGTTTTTTGTGAGTGATCCTTTTTTTGCTCCTCTCTTTCATTTTTTCTGTTACCCATGAAAAACCAATGTTACTTAAAATCCTTTACTAACTTTATATGCTCAATCTTTTCCCCTCAAATTATTGTTATGCGAATTGCTATTCATACAATTGCAGGAAATTGAAATCTCTCCTGATGACAAAAGGGTGACTAAAGACGAAACCTTATTGGTTGATAGGAATTCCGATTTGTAGGAATTTTGGAATTCATCCCCTTATTATATTAAAGACGAAGACAGAGACAAAACCCGAATGAGTAAGCAGTCAGTAGTTTGAGACTTTCTTTTAGCAAGAAAAAGGAGGATGGGGGAGGATACAACTTAAGTGTCTATATTTTTTTATTTAGTTCTTTGTCTAATTTTTCATATTTGTTATTGAGTTTCATGTTTGCAGCAGTGTTCTTTCAGCTCCATCATGCTTCAGTTATAGTTTTAAACTTTTAAGACATCTAGTCACTTAATTGTTTCTAGTTTTGGTATTTTGATCTTAATTGCATCCTAATTGTGTTGTCAGTTGTCAAGGAAAATGAAACCACACGGAAGAAGCCCAAACTTTCAGACTTCGTGATGATTAGCAATGAATATATTCCTGCTGAATTAGTCACAGGTTTTGCCACATCAGGGAAAAAAAATTAAAAAAAATCCGAGTGATAAATAATGTATACTAGACAATATAAAGGATAATTTTGAACTTCTGAATTTGCAATCATCCTTTTGTGATGGGTTGTGGTCGTGGAATACGGTTGGCTATCCAATTATGCCAGACAAATCAGACCTCATTTTCTCCTAGTTAATTCGTTATTTGTTTCTAGGTTTATTTGTGGGGAAGAACTCCTCGAAACATGTATTATTGTTGAAGTTATATGTGGGAAAATCTCCTCAAGATGTGTTGCTTGTTTCGAGTTTTATCTGTAAGGATGAGCTCCACGGTAGGTAAGACCGAGAAATATTGGTCATGCGGACACGCATTGTTATTAACGTGTGGAGCTTACATGGATGCCACTGTTAGAACACCGATTGTCCCAAAAGTTTAAGTTGTTAGAAAATGACATAACAATATATATCACAAGTTCCACCACCCTTCCTTCACGTGCAATCTCCTCTTGCAAATGAAGAAGCAAATAGACTCAGATTTTGTCAATATTGACACATCTATCCATCTTAACAATTAGTAAAAGAGTAGCTATGCATTCATTTCTTATACTATTTTCAAGGGTTTTTTGAAGCTTTTCATAACTTGACTGTCTGAATTTGATTAGGCTGAATAACATTATATGTAAATTTTAAATCTCAGGGCATCTAAATCTTCATTTTTGTTGTCCTCATTTTTTATTTGAACTTCTGAATGAATTGAAGTCCAAAATTTTATAAAGATAGATTATCTAAAGTCCCACCTCACCACAGATGAAGGTTGGTAATATTAGTATTTTTGCCAAAGTTGAGGTCCTTGTTAATTTGTTCGCAATTCTGTCATTTTATGGTACAATACAATGCCACTGGTTATTTTATCAAACTGATTAAGATGTTTATGTGACAGATCTGCAGAAATTAGATATCTTTGAGAAGCTTGAAAAGAAAGATCAGGTAATGATGTATAGCGTAGTTGCCCTTCTACTGACCATCTCTTGTCAAAGATCACTTCAGTGAAACAATCAAGAAGAACGTTGACTGTCAGAGTTTATTAATTTATTTATTTTTTAGTTTTTTGGTTCTCTCCTTGCGCTGGGTTGGTTTTCTTGATTTTGGCTGGAATTTCTTCATTTCAATAAATTGTTATGTTGGTGTTTACGTGAAATGCCTAGGGACAAGATGAGAAAGGTGAAAAAGAAAAGAAAGAAGATGAAGAGGAAGAAGATGATGAAAGAATCGAAGAGGGGGACGAAGAATTCAGTGATGATGGGGATTATAATCAGGTCTCTAAGCAAAACTTATACTCTATGTCCATACTTTGAATGTCAGTCTACTTCCGATCTATTTTTGTTGCCTGCTCATACACCTGCATTTGTTGTTTTCATGAAGAGCGCCTTCTTTTTCATTTATATACATATGCTTGAGTAAGGGGATATTGCTGGTTAAGGCTTTGGTTGTAGTACTGTTGTATGGTAGAATAGGAGGAAATTCAGTTCAAGGGGGTTTGAGTTTTCCCAAGTTTAAAATTGTCCTTGAAAAAAATTATTGAACCATTTACAGTACTCATAGTTGCTTGAAGGCAAGACTGGCAATGTTGCCACGGTTTATTTTGTGTTATAATGGGGGTGAATGATATCCTCAATTTTTTATCCTCTTGTTGTCCTTAAAAGTACATAAAAGAAAATTCGGCTATGGTCTCTTCAGCAGCCTAAACTAGAACCATTGTTAACTAAAAAATTGCAATTGTCAAACGTGGGAGGAAAATTATGATTAAGCTCAGAATCTGGTAATCATCGAGCTTATATATCATCAACCTAATTATCTTCCTAATTGTTGTTGACTCCATATCAGTTCCATTTCTGGTCATTGTAATTTCCTGGCAATTCATGTGGGTTTTTAATCTTAAGTTCCAAGAGATCCCACGGTGATCTTGCCTGAGCATCCAAATCTGGAGCACAGTGAGCTGAATGAGGGGAGAAACACTCCTTACATCCAATCGGATTATAGGTAAAACCTTAGCTCGCTGAAGAAATTACTACAATACCTGATACTTGCTGTAAGAATTCCGTCAAGTCCATGGACACATATTTCCAATGTAAAGGTTGAGATATGAGAGCCGAATTACATCATCAATAATGAACACTAAGACTATGAGATACACATAAATTCAAAAATGAAAAATATAATTATGAAATTCAATGAAAGAATAAAACCTATATCATCATGTTTAATGCATTAAAACAACATGCAATAAACGCTTGAAAATTCAACCAAGCCCATCCAAGATACATGAGGAGCAGTCAAGAAGACTAGCAGTTGAATGAAACGTAACAGAAGATGATGTCATCCCATTGGTTTTGACCTGGAATGAGGTAGTCATGAAATGCTTCCAAAAAAATAACCTTTGCAACTGAAAAACAGGCTAACAAAGAGATTGTTGTCCTTCTTAAGGAAGAAAGTGACGGTTTGGTAGAGATAGAAATGGAAAATAGCCCACAATTCCAATGAGGTTTCAGTCGGCGTGAAATAAACCTAGAAGATGAACCAGGAATCTGTATAGCTTTGAGCATTATGTAAGTACATAATATGTATATATTTATTTAAATGTGTATTTGTCAATTCAGAGGAAAGTTGTTGAACTTTTATCACTGATAGTGTTCTGTGTTCAGTAACAAGAGTGTTTCTTTCACTTGAAATTTTGATCCTTTTTAGTGAATTTAAATTATGCCTAAAACACTTAAGAATCACCCAAGTTTTAAGTATTGTAATTGAGATTTAAACGTACAACTTCTTCTTAAAGATTAATTCTTACCCATTTTCCCCAGTGTCTGAATTCGATGATCACATAAATTATGAAGTATCCCAAACATGCTGAGCCACTGCAGTCTTTTTCCATTCAAACATTTTTTATTTTTAATTCACTCTTCTCTCCGAGATAGCTCATTTTATTTATAAACTTCTCTTTTGAGCTCTAGGAAAAAAATTTACAAATAAAAGCAGAAAAGCATTTATACTGTAGCCTGAGTTATCAACGGGCACCATATTTATATTATTATTTTCTAATGGCTACAGGCACTGCTGTTTTGGTGTAGGGTCGTTCTTGTTGGCAACCTTAACTAATTAGCCTCCAAATGGAAGGTAATTTATTTTTGGTCACGAATTGGTTACATGGAATTGGACCATTCCTTGGATTATGTGGAACGTAAACTCTGATGGTTGGCAGTTCCTAAATCAAGGCAGTTCCTAATGGATGTTTTTAAGCTGGATCCTGTGTTGATTGAGAAAGAAATTATTTTGCTTGTCAAATGTAGCTTGAGATATATGATTTTAAGCAACTCTTGGGGACTTTATATTACTATCCCTTTATTTGGATACAAGTATTGCTTTAATCATAGGAGAGTTCCTTTATTATATAAGCTGGCTTTTTATCAGCTTTGTTTGGAGAATGAGAAGAAAGTTTGTTGGAATGCTGGGGTACAAAACAGCAATGAACTACTAATTGCAGCTTATGGGGTTCATGTTACCTATCAAAATTATCTTAGATTTATAATCTTGTGATTCTCCAATGATTGCTGTTTTCTGTTGCTCATATTGTTTGCTAATTACCTTAAATCTAAAACCTTACGTTTCTTAATATTTTTTGTCTATAAAAGCTTGAACATATCTCTCTGTTGAAATTCGTTTGTAATTGACGCTTTGAATAATCTCACAGAACATTGATTTTGATGACGATGAAGATGACTTCAACATGGCTGACGACAATGATGATGGTATGTGCTTTGTCTTATTCGCACTTCATTTTTTTTATAATTTCAAATTGGGACATTTCTTGTATTTGAATGGAGAATTATCAACTTTTGATATTGATGATTGGTCTAACAATAATTCTCACCAAGAATTTGTAATGTTGCAGAAGCGGCGTATTAGATGTTGTTCTTGGGAATGCTTTTCTGGCTTTCTTCAACTTGGCAAATGGAAGCATTCCTTTTTCCCATACCAAATCAGATGAGTTTGAGTAATTAGCATAAGGTTGCTATACAGTCAGAGGGCCTTCTTTTTTGTTTTTTGCCATTTTTTTCTGATTGATTAGGTAAAGAATCAAACTGCTAACCCTACTGTTTCTTTTTAGATACCATGCCATGTTGATTTGACCGAAAGAATCTTATGGCTTTTCTAAAGTGCAAAGTAGGCTACATTACAGTGAGGGATGATGGAACTCACTTGGTTGCTTATATCGGTTCGAGTGAATTAGATTATCTCACTTAAATATATGTTCATCTCTTCCAGATTGTGTCAAGCATCCAAAGATCAGCCATCAAGTGTATTGCTTCTTTGCCACTCAGCAGTTACTATAATGTTCGCCATTGCATATTCTGTTTTTGCTTTCTGTTCACTGTATTTCTTTTTTAAATTTCCGTCTTGAATTTAGCCATTTGTAAGTTTTTGATTGAGGTAGGTTGACAAAATGGTTGTCTTTATTTAGTCTGGTGATACTTATGTCATTGCATTTCATTTGGATTTGATTTGGTACTTTTCTCATTTTAATGTTGGCTGGTCATATTTTGTGAGTCTGTAACTCTGGTTTTTACTTTTTCGTTTGCAGTCTCTAAAAAAAGGGGAGCTTCTCTCTAGTCATGTAATTTCTAACATGGATGCGAGTCCTACTCTGTCCTTATTGGGAGGGGTTTTTGTGTATCAAGTCCATTGTAACAGGCTAAGTGTTTGGCCCTTATAAGCCAAGACACTCTCACGTGGGACAAGAACCTCCAATATTTTGTTTCATCCGAACTCGCGTTACAGCAAGACTTATTCCTTGTCTACCTTAACAGGTTAAGGACATCCGATTACAGAGTAGGATTGGAATTGCTCTAAACTACGTGTAACGTGTTGGACATTTGTCATTCGATCCACAAGAATAAACTCGTGATGCTCTCCAACCGGATTTGATATGACACAAGAATTTCTATAACATCAATCCATTTCATGTTTCTTTATTCTCACCTACACAAGCATGCACAGATGTTACGGACGTGCTTATGCTTGCCAAAAGAAGAAAAAATGGAAAATGAAATTAGTAGGAACTATTATCAGAATATTATTAGGAACACAAGTCTGGACTAATCTGATTAATCCAAGTATAATTTCGGTTTGGAGCCTTGGAGCTTAGGTTGTGCTCAGGTTGAATGTTTTATATATTGGTGGAGTTTGGATTGATTTCTTGATTTGTTCAAAATGCAATAATTAGTTGTCTAAGTTGCATATTTACTTATTTGGAGAAAACAAAAATTGGTTCTTTATTTATTTTGCAATATTAAACAACCATAAAATAAAAAAATCCTTAAATTAAAGCACAAAGTTGTTTGACATTGCTACATTATTAAAGGGTAATTTAGAGTAACCTTTTATAAAGTTTGGCAAAATTGTGCGGACCTCTATCATTTTTAAAATTATACTTGATTTCTCTCCTAAGAGCTAATCGGGGAGTTTAGAGCAATTTTTGAAATTATTAAGTCTTTAAAATTATACTTGATTTCTCTCCTAAGAGCTAATAGGGGAGTTTAGTGCAATTTTTGAAATTATTAAGTCTTAGAATTGTAATATAATTTTAACTTTTTTGACCCTTACAAAAAGAAAAATAATTTTTAAACCCCACCACATATATACCAAAATAGGGGTAATTACACTTATCTCCCCTGAGGTTAGGCCTAATTACAGGCGGTACCCCTAACGTTTAAAAAATTACACTGACCTCTCTCCAAACTGATCGGCATTTTATTCCGGCCATTGACCATGTTAAATGACTAAAACACCCTCTAATATTTTATTAATATGACATGACACTGTGAAATTACTATATTGTCCACAAATAAAGTTATACTTGTGTAGCAAATACACACCTACATGTACAAACCCCCGCCGCCCGTTGTCCCCCACCCACCAAGGAAACCATTTTCTCCGGCGACCAATTTTATTCAATGTAGCCATTTCCTCTGATGATCCATTACATTAATCATTACCACTCAACTTTCCTTCTATATCACACACACCATGAATACATACACAGACAACTACCACACAACCACCACCATCATAATCATCACCACTAGCGGACTCTTCTACAACGACAACCAACACGGCACTATCATCCACAGGTGAAGCCAACGGTAACGACCTAAAATAAGGAGACTGAGGAAGAAGAAAACTTGATGGATCCAAGAAAGTGTTTCAACTGGTCAAACTTATGTATAGATATATAGATGTATGGGCAGGGCAGAACAGAGCTACCATCTCTGGCATAAATTCACCGATCTGAACATGAACATCTGCCGCCTCGACTTTGCCGACATGGACGTGATTGCCATAATATTCACCGGCGAAGTCGCACCCGGTAAAACTCCAGATTAGATGCAAATCCGAATTCAGAAATCGTAGTGAGCTCGGCCGATTCTCGCTGGTGAAGCGGTTCGAGTCGCCGATCAATTGAGAGCTGCGAGACTTGTGAAATGATGACGATTTGACAACGCTAAAGTTGTCAGTCTTTTGGTACTCATTGAGTTCGTCTCGGTCATCGTTGTAGGGATGATGCTTTCGCAAAAGACGATGTTGTCAATTGGGTTGATTGAAGTTCAGATTGATGAAGAACTCGAATAGGTCTTGATCTATGGGGGTTTTTGGATTAAGGTGTACCCACGGACGGCAAAGCCGAGGAGGAGAGCTGCTCTGTCGGCGGAGGGGTTTCCATAGATGCCGGCGGCAAGGGGCTCCATTGATTTCAGCAGCGATTGTTGTGGCGGCGACGATTTGCAGCTATGTATATATATGTAGATCTAGAATGAGCCAATGTGTGTGTGTATGTGTATATATATATATATATACCAGTAGATATATATTATGGGGAAGGCGGCGAGGCATGCCGGACGGCGGAGAGGAATACTAAGTAGCCATGAGGGAGCCGACGAAGGGTAGAAGGCGCGGTGGGCGCAGAGGATGAAGCCGCCGTTATTGGGGCAGTGGCGATCTCGGTAGTGATGAGGATACACACACACACACACACACACACACACACACACTGATATTACATAGTATTTGTCCCTTTTTTTTTTTTTTTTTTTTTTTTTTTTAGGTATATAAGTTATTTTAATACAAAAGTAAGGGTTAAAATGTCTTTGCAAATATAATAAGGGCAAATGTGGTATTACAGGGTTAAAAAGTGCTGATGTCATCAAAAATCATCATTGACCGGCGTTGACTTTCACCGGAGGGGGCTAAGTGTTAGGACGGAGCTAACCTTGAGGGAGGGCGGTGTAATTTTTTAAACGTTAGGGGTACCACCTGTAATTAGGCCTAACCCCAGGGGAGGTAAGTGTAATTACTCCTACCAAAATATAAGTTGTTATACAGAACACTGTGAGAGACCAACGGCACTAAGACAACGGGCAAGTCAAAGAATGTACTGAAGGGTCCTGTGCTCTCAACACAACGGTCAAGCAAGTGATTCAGATAAGTAAGGTCGGGCTAGCCGTTATAATGTAGCCTATATATATCTTCTCTTTGTATCATCATTTACATTTCAATTCAATACAACTTCAATATATCTCTGTATATCTCTGTCTTTCTCTATCTCTCATAATCAACATGGTCTCAGAGCCACCGCCGATGAGGCTTATGCCGACATTTCCGGCGGTGGTCCAAGGTCCTTAATTAACCCAACCTCTGAGTCATCGTCTCCGCGTCTGTTCTCGTTCTCAACTCTGACCTTGTCCTCTCTCTCTGCGACTGCAAACTACAAAGTCTGCAAGAATAAAAAATTCAAAACCCATATCTTTCAGTTTCCATAGCCCGCTGTTCCAGTTCGGCCCACTGTCTCTGAACTCTCAAGCTTCAGCCGCCAGCCCGCTGTCTCTCATCAGAACGGATTCGCGATCTCAGCCGGATTCTTCAACCGTCGCCGAGCGGACCTCAGCCGGATTCTTCACCACAATTTCCGCTGCTCATCTCTGCCGCCAGCACTGTCATCTTATCTGTCGTCGCTGCCCATCTCCACTGCTCATCTCTGCCGCCGCCGATCGCAGACCACATCAGAGTCTCTCACAAAATCAATCTTAAGCTTGAGAGTTCAGAGACAGTGGGCCGAACTGGAACAGCGGGCTATGGAAACTGAAAGATATGGGTTTTGAATTTTTGATTCTTGCAGACTTTGTAGTTTGCAGTCGCAGAGAGAGAGGACAAGGTCAGAGTTGAGAACGAGAACAGAGGCGGAGACGATGACTCAGAGGTTGGGTTAATTGAGGACCTTGGACCACCGCCGGAGATGTCGGCATAAGCCTCATCAGCGGTGGCTCTGAGACCATGTTGATTATGAGAGATAGAGAAAGACAGAGATATATTGAAGTTGTATTGAATTGAAATATAAATGATGATACAAAGAGAAGATATATATAGGCTACATTATAACGGCTAGCCCGACCTTACTTATCTGAATCACTTGCTTGACCGTTGTGTTGAGAGCACAGGACCCTTCAGTACATTCTTTGACTTGCCCGTTGTCTTAGTGCCGTTGGTCTCTCACAGTGTTCTGTATAACAACTTATATTTTGGTAGGAGTAATTACACTTACCTCACTGCTTCTTCAATTTCTGGATGGCTTTTCAAGGCGGCTATGTAGAAGACCCCAAGAGAAGCCCAGATCAGTTACTTCATTCCTCCCAAAATCATGAGCATGAAGAATACGGGCAACATTTCCAGCGATTTTTGACGTCCTCTCTGAATACAGTTGAAGAGCTTGGCATCCTTGTTTTCAGATTCCACAGCATAGAGCGTGGGATAGTTCACCTTGTACTCGGCCATGTCCACCTGCTCCATTCTACAACCTCACCACGACTTCGTCATGTCTGACATTCAGTCCGCCATCATTCCTTCGTCTCCGGCCACAGTCTTCGCCCTCATGAACTGCTCCATCAACTCGCCGGTGCAGCGAGCCGCCATCAACATCCTCAAGCTTGCCGCGCTGCAAGTCCAAGACCCAGATCTGTCTCGCCGGCCATCTCCATCCTCACAGCCGGATCTGTCTCGCCGGCGCCATCAACATCCTCACAGCCCGCCATCTTCAATAGCCGGATCTGCCTCGCCGTCTCTCTTACAGCCGCCATCGATCGCATCTCATCTGTCGCCTCCCTCTGTTCTCATCAATTTTCTTTCGCACTCTTATTGTGAGAATAGGGTGGAATTAACTATTATACAAATTAGGACATTTGGCCTATTTTTTGAATTGAGAAGATTTTGGGCTCCGTCGGATTGGGCCTATTATTGTGAAAAAATATATATATAACTGTTTCCTTGTTTGGACTGTTCCAAACCCGGTTTGTAGAATCGGCCAGTCAAGTTCTAGGTTCTCCTGATATTCCTCTAGAATGTATTCCGATCAGTTTCAGTTTCCAGAGTACAGCTTGCCTAGTTTCTCGGCATTAATCTGGCTCTTTCGTGCACTTCCAAACGCTCAGTCATCGACATTTCTATCATGCGTTTCCAAACCCTCTGTCATGTGCTTCTAAGCACTCTCACATGCTCCTAAGCACATTATACCACCCTATCAAATAGTAATTCCGTTTTGTCATAGACATCCGTATGTCGTGCTCCCAAACACTTCAAGTGGTAAATCCACTTTATGATTTCATTTTATTATTAGCTTTCAAGAACTCGTGATTACCATACTTGCCGTTAAGTGGTTCTTATGAATGATGCCTAAAACACTTAAGAATCACCCAAGTTTTAAGTATTGTAATTGAGATTCAAACGTACAACTTCTTCTTAAAGATTAATTCTTACCCATTTTCCCCAGTGTCTGAGTTCGATGATCACATAAATTATGAAGTATCCCAAACATTCTGAGCCACTGCAGTCTTTTTCCATTCAAACATTTTTTATTTTCAATTCACTCTTCTCTCCGAGATAGCTCATTTTATTTATAAACTTCTCTTTTGAGCTCTGTTGATGACCGCGCCACGATAGCTGACTAAGTGGCGCCACCTCTGCAACATAGGCACAACTGGCCAGTGCTGACCTGGCGTGCCCACATTGGATTAGGTTTTCTCAAGCTACCTATCCAATAACGGAACTCACTGGTCGAGGGAGGGGTCGCTACCCTTCCTCTACTGTGGACGCGCCTCGCTCTAGTCGGATGGGCTCCTCCCCCCCCTGGCTCGCTCGAGGGTGCTCTCTGAAAGAGCAACATCGACTAACCTGTGTACATGTTTCCCTTCTTGGCAAAGAAGACCTCGGGATAGAACTGGGATGGGAACCTGCGAGGTCATGAAGGCAGGACCTCGAAAGGGGCCTATCCCCACTGAAGCACGGGAATTTGAGGACATGTGGATAGGTGGCTGAGATCTAAGGGGTCACCTCAGTCCGAGGCCAGCACAAGGGGGAAAGGATACCCGGTACCTAAGCTCGAGCGATAAAGGATAAGCAATGCATTAATTGCGAAAGACATTTAATAAGACCCGCATTAATTAGGGAGCGCTGTTACCTCCTTTGACTGGGGGGCAAAGCGCCGCGGCCCATCCATCAATGTCTCATCCGTCAGAGGAAGAGACTATTAAACCTGTGGATAAGAGCGGGCTTAGCTAAAGGACCAAAAGACATTGACCGAAGAGGAAAACACTATAAATAGGGGTGTTAATCAGCCTTAAACACACACAACCACCACATTAACACTTATCCTCTGACAAGCTCGAGGTTGCATGGTACCGAGGTCGGCCTTCCCTTTCTTAATCTCCATACCTAGAGAATCCCTTGTGTTGTTTGGATCCCCACTTGGATACTGATCTCAGATCTCTTGGCTTACGTGGAACGATCTCTCATCCTATTCACGAACTACCATCAACAAGCTCTAGGAAAAAAATTTACAAATAAAAGCAGAAAAGCATTTATACTGTAGCCTGAGTTATCAACGGGCACCATATTTATATTCTTATTTTCTAATGGCTACAGGCACTGCTATTTTGGTGTAGGGTCGTTCTTGTTGGCAACCTTAACTAATTAGCCTCCAAATGGAAGGTAATTTATTTTTGGTCACGAATTGGTTACATGGAATTGGACCATTCCTTGGATTACGTGGAACGTAAACTATGATGGTTGGCAGTTCCTAAATCAAGGCAGTGAATGCTGATTGCTGAAGAGATGGCATAGTGATCCAATTTAACATTGAAGGAGCATTGGGTCCCATCATTAGCTAATGGATGTTTTTAAGCTGGATCCTGTGGTCAGGCTGATTTGATTGTGTTGGTTGAGAAAGAAATTATTTTGCTTGTCAAATGTAGCTTGAGATATATGATTTTAAGCAACTCTTGGGGACTTTATATTACTATCCCTTTATTTGGATACAAGTATTGCTTTAATCATAGGAGAGTTCCTTTATTATATAAGCTGGCTTTTTATCAGCTTTGTTTGGAGAATGAGAAGAAAGTTTGTTGGAATGCTGGGGTACGAAACAGCAATGAACTACTGATTGCAGCTTATGGGGTTCATGTTACCTATCAAAATTATCTTAGATTTATAATCTTGTGATTCTCCAATGATTGCAGTTTTCTGTTGCTCATATTGTTTGCTAATTACCTTAAATCTAAAACCTTACGTTTCTTAATATCTTTTGTCTATAAAAGCTTGAACATATTTCTCTGTTGAAATTCGTTTGTAATTGACGCTTTGAATAATCTCACAGAACATTGATTTTGATGACGATGAAGATGACTTCAACATGGCTGACGACAATGATGATGGTATGTGCTTTGTCTTATTTGCACTTCATTTTTTTTATAATTTCAAATTGGGACATTTCTTGTATTTGAATGGAGAATTATCAACTTTTGATATTGATGATTGGTCTAACAATAATTCTCACCAAGAATTTGTAATGTTGCAGAAGCGGCGTATTAGATGTTGCTCTTGGGAATGCTTTTCTGGCTTTCTTCAACTTGGCAAATGGAAGCATTCCTTTTCCCCATACCAAATCAGATGAGTTTGAGTAATTAGCATAAGGTTGCTATACAGTCAGAGGGCCTTCTTTTTTGTTTTTTGCCATTTTTTTCTGATTGATTAGGTAAAGAATCAAACTGCTAACCCTACTGCTTCTTTTTAGATACCATGCCATGTTGATTTGACCGAAAGAATCTTATGGCTTTTCTAAAGTGCAAAGGAGGCTACATTACAGTGAGGGGATGATGGAACTCACTTGGTTGCTTATATCGGTTTGAGTGAATTAGATTATCTCACTTAAATATATGTTCATCTCTTCCAGATTGTGTCAAGCATCCAAAGATCAGCCATCAAGTGTATTGCTTCTTTGCCACTCAGCAGTTACTATAATGTTTGCCATTGCATATTCTGTTTTTGCTTTCTGTTCACTGTATTTCTTTTTTAAATTTTCGTCTTGAATTTAGCCATTTGTAAGTTTTTGATTGAGGTTGGTTGACAAAATGGTTGTCTTTATTTAGTCTGGTGATACTTATGTCATTGCATTTCATTTGGATTTGACTTGGTACTTTTCTCATTTTAATGTTGGCTGGTCATATTTTGTGAGTCTGTAACTCTGGTTTTTACTTTTTCGTTTGCAGTCTCTATAAAAAGGGGAGCTTCTCTCTAGTCATGTAATTTCTAACATGGATGCGAGTCCTACTCTGTCCTTATTGGGAGGGGTTTTTGTGTATCAAGTCCATTCTAACAGGCTGAGTGTTTGGCCCTTATAAGCCAAGACACTCTCACGTGGGACAAGAACCTCCAACATTTTGTTTCATCCGAACTCGCGCTACAGCAAGACTTATTCCTTGTCTACCTTAACAGGTTAAGGACATCCGATTACAGATTAGGATTGGAATTGCTCTAAACTACTGATAACGTGTTGGACATTTGTCATTCGATTCACAAGCTTAACTTGTTAAGTAAAGCTGCCTATCCATCCTAATAAACTCTCCAACTGGATCTGATATGACACGAGAATTTCTATAACATCAATCCATTTCATGTTTCTTTATTCTCACCTACACGAGCATGCGCAGATGTTACGGACGTGCTTATGATTGCCAAAAGAAGAAAAAATGGAAAATGAAATTAGTAGGAACTATTATCAGAATATTATTAGGAACACAAGTCTGGACTAATCTGATTAATCCAAGTATAATTTCGGTTTGGAGCCTTGGAGCTTAGGTTGTGCTCAGGTTGAATGTTTTATATATTGGTGGAGTTTGGATTGATTTCTTGATTTGTTCAAAATGCAATAATTAGTTGTCTAAGTTGCATATTTACTTATTTGGAGAAAACAAAAATTGGATCTTTATTTCTCTTGCAATATTAAACAGCCATAAAGTAAAAAAACCTTAAATTAAAGCACAAAGTTGTTTGACATTGCTACATTATTTAAGGGTAATTTAGAGTAACCTTTTCTAAAGTTTGGCAAAATTGTGCGGACCTCTATAATTTTTAAAATTATACTTGATTTCTCTCCTAAGAGCTAATTAGGGAGTTTAGTGCAATTTTTGAAATTATTAAGTCTTTAAAATTATACTTGATTTCTCTCCTAAGAGCTAATAAGGGAGTTTAGTGCAATTTTTGAAATTATTAAGTCTTAGAATTGTAATATAATTTTAACTTTTTTAAGAAAAGTAATTTTTAAACCCCACCACATATATACCAAAATATAAGTTGTTGTACAGAACACTCTGAGAGACCAACGGCACTAAGACAACGGGCAAATCAAAGAATGTACTGAAGGGTCCTGTGCTCTCAACACAACGGTCAAGCAAGTGCTTCAGATAAGTAAGGTCGGGTTATAATGTAGCCTATATATATCTTCTCTTTGTATCATCATTTACATTTCAATTCAATACAACTTCAATATATCTCTGTATATCTCTGTCTCTCTCTATCTCTCATAATCAACATGGTCTCAGAGCCACCGCCGATGAGGCTTATGCCGACATCTCCGGCGGTGGTCCAAGGTCCTCAATTAAACCAACCTCTGAGTCATCGTCTCCGCCTCTGTTCTCATTCTCAACTCTGACCTTGTCCTCTCTTTCTGCAACTGCAAACTACAAAGTCTGCAAGAATCAAAAATTCAAAACCCATATCTTTCAGTTTCCATAGCCCGCTGTTCCAGTTCGGCCCGCTGTCTCTGAACTCTCAAGCTTCAGCCGCCGGCCCGCTGTCTCTCATCAGAACGGATTCGCGATCTCAGCCGGATTCTTCAACCGTCGCCGAGCGGACCTCAGCCGGATTCTTCACCACAATTTCCGCTGCTCATCTCTGCCGCCAGCACTGTCATCTCATCTGCCGTCGCTGCCCATCTCCACTGCTCATCTCTGTCGCCGCCGATCGCACACCACATCAGAGTCTCTCACAAAATCAATCTTATTCACTATCTTCTTCTTAGCTTCAAGAGTCGATCGGAATCGGAAAAATGGCCGGAATCGAGTTGCTGCCCAAAGAATACGGATTCGTTGCCCTTGTGCTCGTTCTCTACTGCTTCTTCAATTTTTGGATGGCTTTTCAAGGCGGCCGGCTATGTAGAAGACCCCAAGAGGAGCGCAGATCAGTTACTTCATTCCTCCCAAAATCATGAGCATGAAGAACACGGGCAACATTTCCAGCGATTTTTGATGTCCTCTCTGAATACAGTTGAAGAGCTTGGCATCCTTGTTTTCAGATTCCACAGCATAGAGCGTGGGATAGTTCACCTTGTACTCGGCCATGTCCACCTGCTCCATTCTACAACCTCACCACGACTTCGTAATGTCTGACATTCAGTCCGCCATCATTCCTTCGTCTCCGGCCACAGTCTTTGCCCTCATGACCTACTCCATCAACTCGCCGGTGCAGCGAGCCGCCATCAAAATCCTCAAGCTTGCCGCGCTGCAAGTCCAAGACCAAGATCTGTCTCGCCGGCCATCTCCATCCTCACGGTCGGATCTGTCTCGCCGGCGCCATCAACATCCTCACAGCCCGCCATCTTCAATAGCCGGATCTGTCCCGCCGGATCTGCCTCGCCGGCTCTCCTACAGCCGCCATCGATCGCATCTCATCTGTCGCCTCCCTCCGTTCTCATCAATTTTCTTTCGCACTCTTATTGTGAGAATTGGGTGGGATTAACTATTATACAAATTAGGACATTGGGTCTATTTTTTGAATTGTGAAGATTTTGGGCTCCGTCGGATAGGGCCTATTATTGTGAAAAAATATATATATAACTGTTTCCTTGTTTGGACTGTTCCAAACCCGGTTTGTAGAATCGGCCAGTCAAGTTCTAGGTTCTCCTGATATTCCTCTAGAATGTATTCCGATCAGTTTCAGTTTCCAGAGTACAGCTCGCCTAGTTTCTTGGCATTAATCTGGCTCTCTCATGCGCTTCCAAGCGCTCAGTCATCGACATTTCTATCAAGCGTTTCCAAACACTCTGTCATGTGCTTCTAAGCACTCTCACATGCTCCTAAGCACATTATACTACCCTATCAAATAGTAATTCCGTTTTGTCACAGGCATCTGTGCGTCGTGCTCCCAAACACCTCAAGTGGTAAATTCACTTTATGATTTCATTTTATTATTAGCTTTTAAGAGCTTGTGATTAACATACTTGCCTTAAAATGGTTCTTATGCGCCGTATCTCAAATGGTTATACCATTTTATAAAATAGTAATTTCGCCGGAGATGACTCAGAGGTTGGGTTAATTGAGGACCTTGGACCACCGCCGGAGATGTCGGCATAAGCCTCATCGGCGGTGGCTCTGAGACCATGTTGATTATGAGAGATAGAGAAAGACAGAGATATACAGAGATATATTGAAGTTGTATTGAATTGAAATGTAAATGATGACACAAAGAGAAGATATATATAGGCTACATTATAACGGCTAGCCCGACCTTACTTATCTGAATCACTTGCTTGACCGTTGTGTTGAGAACACAGGACCCTTCAGTACATTCTTTGACTTGCCCGTTGTCTTAGTGCCTTTGGTCTCTCACAGTGTTCTGTATAACAACTTATATTTTGGTAGGAGTAATTACACTTACCTCACTGCTTCTTCAATTTCTGGATGGCTTTCAAGGCGGCTATGTAGAAGACCCCAAGAGAAGCCCAGATCAGTTACTTCATTCCTCCCAAAATCATGAGCATGAAGAATACGGGCAACATTTCCAGCGATTTTTGACGTCCTCTCTGAATACAGTTGAAGAGCTTGGCATCCTTGTTTTCAGATTCCACAGCATAGAGCGTGGGATAGTTCACCTTGTACTCGGCCATGTCCACCTGCTCCATTCTACAACCTCACCACGACTTCGTCATGTCTGACATTCAGTCCGCCATCATTCCTTCGTCTCCGGCCACAGTCTTCGCCCTCATGAACTGCTCCATCAACTCGCCGGTGCAGCGAGCCGCCATCAACATCCTCAAGCTTGCCGCGCTGCAAGTCCAAGACCCAGATCTGTCTCGCCGGCCATCTCCATCCTCACGGCCGGATCTGTCTCGCCGGCGCCATCAACATCCTCACAGCCCGCCATCTTCAATAGCCGGATCTGTCCCGCCGGATCTGCCTCGCCGTCTCTCTTACAGCCGCCATCGATCGCATCTCATCTGTCGCCTCCCTCTGTTCTCATCAATTTTCTTTCGCACTCTTATTGTGAGAATAGGGTGGGATTAACTATTATACAAATTAGGACATTGGGCCTATTTTTTGAATTGAGAAGATTTTGGGCTCCGTCGGATTGGGCCTATTATTGTGAAAAAAGATATACATAACTGTTTCCTTGTTTGGACTGTTCCAAACCCGGTTTGTAGAATCGGCCAGTCAAGTTTTAGGTTCTCCTGATATTCCTTAGAATGTATTCCGATCAGTTTCAGTTTCCAGAGTACAGCTTGCCTAGTTTCTCGGCATTAATCTAACTCTTTCGTGCACTTCCAAACGCTCAGTCATCAACATTTCTATCATGCGTTTCAAACACTATGTCATGTGCTTCTAAGCACTCTCACATGCTCCTAAGCACATTATACCACCCTATCAAATAGTAATTCCGTTTTGTCATTGGCATCCGTGTGTCCTGCTCCCAAACACTTCAAGTGGTAAATCCACTTTATGATTTCATTTTATTATTAGCTTTCAAGAACTCGTGATTACCATACTTGCCGTTAAGTGGTTCTTATGCGCGGTATCTCAAATGATTATACCATTTTATAAAATAGTAATTTCGCTCTGTCACAAGCATCCGTGCATCTCTCCACTCTATGATTCCCTGGTACCACACTTGATAGCCGCTAGCTTTTAAGCATCTAAATGTATCGCTCTCTCCGTCTCGCTCTCGCTCGCTCTCTCTCTCTCTCTCGTAATCAACAAGAGTCATTTATTGGAGTCTCCCGGCTAGCCGAACTCATTCAAGATCACCCGTAGCTCACCGCACCTTCGCTAAAGAACGAATC